TTCAGTACCAGCATCCTCACCATCGCAACACAGAGAAGCCGGATGGTCTCTACCTAGGGATGATTGTACATGCTTGCGTGATTTTTTTTATCTTCATTACAATTGTCTTTGGATCATTCCAAAGCTCATTCACTCGGGACCCAAAAGTGAGGTGGAAATGCTGGCATCAGTCGTCAGCAACTCTCATCGGGTTTGTGGAGATCATCCACCTCTCCTTGAGAATGTCAAAATCCTCTGCACCCCTTTTTTTCTGCATTTGGTGCCTAGCCATCTTCATCCGTACTATTTGGACATACACAATAGTAGGGTTCATACCAGCATAAAAAACTTGGAAAGGTGAAAATGGTGAAGGTGGATACTCTCAAATTGGCTAATTCAGCAGAGCTCATCAACCGGGCCTCGAAAAATATGATCTGGACGGTGTAGGAGATGCGATCTGCCCCCAGGATTCTCAATGACTGATCTGACTTTTTTGCCTTGATTTTGTCCCTTGACACCCTTGACATCCCGCATCTTGTTGGGGATCATCTAGACCTTTTTTCAAAAATCGCGTCACTGGACCAGGCAGATCAGTCGAAGTGAAGTGGCACGAGCACTTATTGTTGTTGACACCCGATGTCCACAGGTATGTAGTGTATGTCTGGCCACTGGTACAAATTATGCATTGAGCAATGGGGGGACGCTTGGGCAAACTTTCCCCTTTGCATGAAGGACCTCCCCGGTACTCCATTCTTTTTTTTCCACTGCGTTATATTGTGAGATGCTATGCATGGGGAACACTGCGTAATGACATGAATCATACATTGAAATGCGTGTCAAGCTTCCCAATCGGTTTAGGCCTTTGGGAAATGTCCCCCAATAAGTCTGCGCAATCCAATTCAGTATCCAGAGGCAGGCACAATGGTATTGAATTGCACTAGCTCAATGCATTATGTCGTCGACCAAAATGGCATTTCGTTTTGTTTTCTTACTTATCACCTATCATCATAGATGATGGCATTCCAATTGGATTGAAGGGATTGATGAGGCTACTAGAGCGCATGCAACCGTGACGAGAAGCAGGTCAGAATGTGGTCAGGCTGTGCTCTGCATTCACGGCACTTTCGTTTTCCTCATTGGGTTCTTTTTGTTCATTTGTTTCTGTTTGATGTATATTCTTCGAGGTATATTATTCACATCCCGAAGTGTGAAGACAGCTCCGGGTGTTGCGAGAAGAGGCTACCGTCTTGCCCATCTTGTGTTGTTGTAGTGACATCAGGATGTGCCTCTTGTTCCATGTGATCTTTCCGCCGGCACAGACACTCTGAAGTGCTTTCAGAGTCTAATTCAAACTCATGCATTCAGTGTGTACGAACATTCGATGGTTGGTGGAGGTTTCTGTGCCGTTGAGACCCTGCCCACTGCTTCCTGTTTTGCTGCCTTGTTCACATTGTTGAGGATCACCTGTTTCATCATACTTACCATATTCGCATTCCTCGTGAAGGAGCAGTCAAAAAGCACCCTGATGGTGTCTGTATGGCACTTCGACGAATATGGAGTGAGCTTACTCCTGCTTGGTACGCTTCCCCAGGGAGCACTGGAAGTCCGAGGAAGGACTAGACTTCGCAATCGGGAATTTGCGCTTCCATGTCCGTTCGAATGCACTCGTACGCTTATCCTGTAGATACAAGTTCGGTACGGCATTGGCATTCTTGCACAAACTTGTGCAACTTCGCTCATTGGCCCACAAGGTCCATGTGGGAGTTTGCGCAAGTGAAACGTTTGAAGGGGAGTGCTCAAGAACTGTTCTGACGATATCCCATACGGTCAGAGTTTCGAGGCCTCGCACCTCAAAGCTAGGTCAGCTAGGTTCAGGCGCATCCTCTGGATTTTGGTTTTATCGCCTCATCCACTAGTAGACATCCGCCAGGTTGATAATTTGATCAACCGAAAGGACTAAGATGTGGGCTGCCGTCGTGAATGCAAGGGGCATCTTTTCTATCAAGACACATGCTTGATACAAATGACGCAAAAATGCACACCCAATACAACCTGGGACAATCTCCGTCTGCATTCAACAGAATGGATGAATGCGGATCAAGGCGTACGAGCGCGTCATACTATTAAAGACTATGTACATCATGATCAACACAGGAGCAGCACATATGGAGTTGGGAGTCTGCCAAATTGAAACGAAGCATGAAAATGCAAGTGTTGCGGCTCGTTGATGGCCAAAAATCTTCTGATTGAGAATCATTATGGAGAATGTGCTTTTTTTTCACGATATCAAGGCACTGGATTGTATGGCATCTGGCTCCGAGAGGGATATAAGCCAGCAAAGATGGGACTATGCCGTCTATGTGCGGGAATTACAAAAAAAAAAGACGATTCCGGTATACACGGAGAACACGATTGCAGGCTTGACCGCCCTTTAACATACTCAAATTGAACGTGCTGTTCATAAAAAATCCTTGGAGACTGTAGCAGGAGCATTCAGAAAGGCAGGGATTAATTGGGATTGCTGCGCTGGCATTATCTTGACCTCATGCCATGCGATGGCCTTACGCCTTCAATGCTGTGCTCGTGTCAAACAGTGCCTCCATCCGAATTTGTTGACGGGTATCCAGGTATGCATAGATGTATTTTGCAATCGAAACGGCTGCAATTCCTTCTTGAAATGATTATAAGTTGGCACAGTTGAAGGGACTACTTTCAAGATGTTTGTAGGGAGATACTGTTGCCCTCGATACTTTTTCGGTGTGACCTCTACGGCACCTATCATCTTGTTGGCCTCTTAAGTGGCGCAGCCGACGCGTTTCCACTCGCGGTGACCCAAGTTCAAACAAGCTTGTACACTGCCCTGAGAGAGAGAGCGGACATCACATCAGGCAAAGTTTCAGCAAAACGAAAAATTCATAAGCGGTTTCGTGATTAGGCCCAACACAGTTGTGGAGCCGCGCTGTACACACTGGCAGGGTGTAAGCTCATGAGGTGGAACGATCCAGTGACGTATAAAAGTTTTGTTGCAAGCAATACGCATCACAAATGAGCTGTATTAAAATTCTCTTGCAATCATTATCAAGAATTTTTTTGGGGTTTCAAACTTATCAACTGTATCAATGTATATAAACTTCCGGGCGTCAGCCAAACCCACCAATCTTCATACTTTATAATCGCTTTTGCTTGAATTCATGAAGATCTGGGATATTTCCTGACATAATACATAGTCCATATCACGCGTGTTGAAAGCATACAAGATTCGATGGGTTCGTGTCAAGATGTTGTTCAAAGCTGCCTTTCCAGTATGAGCGGTCTGTTTTTGCTAATGCATGAAGCACTTGCTCAAGTCATTGCAAAGACTTCCATTTCATAGCAACTTTTCTTATAACACGTACGAAATGGCCATTAAAGTATGAAGGTTGATCTACTGAGAGATGCAAACTCTTTCCAGCAAACGTGTTGCCTCATCGATGTCCTCCATTCTTTTTCGGGTTCCATTGTGATCAAGAACGGAGTGCGACTACCTATGAGCTCGGCGTCATGCCTCAAGAAAGTTTACTGCTACGAGTGATTTGCTTCGCGCACAACTCAATTGAACGTGCACGTCATAAAAAGAAACGAAGCACGGGGAAAGCCAACTGAAGGCTACCAAAGTGGATTTGATGCCTTCAAATCCGAGATCACGTTCATCCCATCATTGTCCCATTTTGGCGGGGGATGCTCATAGAATAGCGGACGACATTCAGCGCGTTAGATGGACTTCATCGTGCGCCCCGGAATCTGAGTATACTTAGCCGGTTTCTTTGAATGCTTCTGCTTGAGGACATCTAAAACTGGCTCCCGAAAAGGTAAAACCGAAAGCGAGTCGAATACGCTTGGTAATGCGTGTTCACGAGCACTGTAGTTCATCACAATATTCGCATCTGGGAGAAGGGTGCTCTTCAAATCGCTGTAGATAATCAAGGCTCTGGGTTGCATAGTCGCTTACAATGGAGGTGGACAAGAAGGAGCTGATGAAAAGACGGAATTTGGGGCGGTAAAGTTGAAACATTTGCTCCACGCTCATGATTATCACACCGTCACGAGCAGTTCGTCGACACACTCAACTCTTACAAAATATACCTCTTCCTCTTACAAAGGCAGTCCCATTGAAAATCTACTTGTTTGTGCGTCGGAATTTGGAATTCTCTACAAGGTATATGCTAGTTCAATAGGTGGAGATGACAACCAAAACAGATGCAATACGTCAAATGCAGGCAGTTCTTTGTCACCCAACCCAAGTCGTTGTCCACTCTCCAAGCGGTCGCATTGAAGTTTTGGATGCCGTCTCCCAATGTGAAAACGGCTGCCAATGTGGCGAAACAGGTATGATCAACTCTCAACTTTGGGGCCGGGCGGTCACCAATCAGTCCTAACCACTCACTACTTTTGCGGCAACCTCTTCTCCAAAAGTCTCAAAAAGAAAGGTAAGAATCGCAAACCCGCATTTATTGTAATAGCAGGAGAGAAATCTCATCCCGCATGTTGTCAACAAACCCTTTGGATGCGGCTCTTCGTGGTTCCATTCGGTAGCTTTCCTTGCATAATGATCCTTCTTCGCGTTGACGTGATGTGCTTCCTGGCTTGGTACGCATGAATCGTTCCAGTGGCGTCTTAGACTGTTCATCTCGACCTAGCGAAGTTGCCGCTCATTGATTTGACTTCAATGCTTTGTGGAGGATCGCCAATAGTCTTCTGAATAATGTGAAAGGCTAACGAAGACCAGCCATCACAGTTTTCTTCCTAATGTGTGAATCCCGTCCCCGGAACGACCTCACCGACCTCCTGGAATCGGATATGCAAACTCTGCCAACTCTGCTGAGTTCTGGTTCAGTTGTTTCTTACTTCCTGTGGGACATGCAGCGCTCCCCAGGTAAACCATAAAAGGTTGCGAGCAACGAGTAAAGAAATTGGAATGGTCCAATTGGGACGAGCAAACAACATGGCAAAACGAGAGAAAATTTATCTCAGCATAAATTAAGTGCCTCCTGAGTGGATCGAACACTCGACCTTCTGCTTACGAGGCAGACGCACTACCACTGTGCTAAGAAGGCTTCTGTGCTACCTAGAGGGTTTTTTACATCAATGACATTTTCAAGCTGCAGAGGTTTGTTGTGAAACAGGAGTGTCAAAAGTACTTTTGGAGGCAGAGTGGACGGAATGAGTCTTTGGGACGATTCCAGTTTAGCAAGAGAGAATCAGACGGTGCTTCGTCAACAGCGAGCCCTTATGTTACTTAGATACGTTTCATTATAGTATTTTTTGAGCAGCAGAACGCCGGCTCGGCTGGAGGGAAACATATGGTTAGAGGTAGCGTGAGCTGATGCGACCGGCCGTAGGTATAATGTTCTTTTTCTGCTCTAGCCATAAGAATTTACCGGTTTATTGCGAAGGGCTTCGATGGGGATTGGACTTTGCACTTTCGTTGAGATGATTGGATTGGTCTTAGCACAGTGGTAGTGCGTTTGCCATTTTGAGTGACACGTCGCCTGACCCTTTATTCCCTTAGGATAGTGGCAGTGCGTTCGCCTCCTATTCAGGGGCCATGAGACTACTCACTTTTAAACTCTGCAAATATCCAGATCCAGTAGATGCGGCATTGTTGTCTACGATTCTCCATATCTATTGCAATCACCATTTCCCGTGCATGCAAGGCGCACCATCACCGCACAGTAAATTCCTGCAGGTTGCCACCCGCGCGTGCTGGAGTTATTGGCCAACGTGGATTGTGAAACATGTGCATCCGAGTTGTTCTCGGACCTATCGGAAGTGTGGGCGAAGCCGTGCACAGCTCTCGCATCCTGTGCAAAGACTCCCTTCTCTTTGCCCCACACGTCGGACGGGTCGAACGCAAATATAAAATGTGGATTCGGTAAAGATGACACGCCGTCTCCTCATCCCGCAAGGGCTCGGTTTTTTCTGCATACACCCGGGCTATTCAGGAATCCTGAACGAAAATGGTGCATCACCTCTTATCATCCTTCCTTCTCGCCACCTTTTTCCTATTGTCATTCTCCTCCCCAACCATCGCCCAAACGGATGCTACCGTCCAACCCACTCCCCAACATTTCCCATCAAAATGCCTTATCCTAACACCCGACACACCCTGCGGGCCGGCCTTCGCCGGCTGGCCCATGCCCGCCCGCGAATACCCCACCGTCTCCAACTTCACCACCCACATCCAAAAAACATGGGGCGGAACACCCACCCAAGTCAAAGCCTTCAATCGCTACCACGGCTGCAAAAACACCACATCCCCGACCCAACTCCGCACCTTGCGGTACCAACTCAGCAGGTGGTGCACCATACAAACCTTAGCTACTATCACCACAATTAAGGAATGCCAAGAACCCGAAGGGAAGGAGGCGGACGAACTCCGACCTTGCCAGGAGCCTTGTGAGCTTGCGTGGAAAACTTTGGAGGCGTTTTTTGAGAGTCCTGAGTGTGGTGGTGGGGAGGAGGGGAGGGAGCGGAGGACGCGGACGATTGATCGGTTGAAGAGGGGTTGTGCGATGTGGAGGGAGCGGGAGTTTGATGATGTACATGTAATTAGGGTGGAAAATGCATGGCAGATGAATGAAGTTGCAGAAAGGATTCGGAAGTACGGGGATGGTAAAGGATGTTTGCCGGGTGTTGGGGAGGAGGCGGAGAATTGTGGTGAGTATGCTCCATGTTTTTTGCCGTTGATTTCTGGTTCCAATGCTGTGCAACCTCTGCGGCGTGTGGGAGAATGTGTTCTTTTCGTACCGGGAGATTTACCTTTTCCATACACCCTTTTTCCGACTCGCTCACTTATAGGATTCTCAAACCGCGAAATCGCCATCGAACAGTGTCCACAGCTCCCATCGGATACCTGCTGTGCTCATCTACTGTCTTCTCTCGGTTTATCGCCTGCACTGGACCCACTTCGCAATCAAACCCACATTGAGCAAGATCCAATGACTTCCATACATATAATAGGTTACAGCAAAGCTGCATTCGTCGCCGGACTCTGTTTATTTCTGGGAATCTGCCTTGTTAGGTGGTGGAAATGGTCCACGGACAGGGCGGGATATGTGAAGTTGGCGTAGCGAGGAAGAGTTGGAGGAGGTAAATGAAGACAAGAAATTCTAGTGGTTTTTGAGCGAGTTGCGACATGTCAAATAAGACCGACAGGTTATTTCCATTAGTCTTTACGCATCATCAGAATCACGCTGGTCGATATTCGTTGTATTCATGTACACTGTCGTTGTACAATGTTACTTCGCTATTTCTTCGTGCCAATGTTGCCAATGTGAACTCGTTGGATAGGTGTAGATCCGAGTCTTTCATCTATTATGTTGGTGGCTGCCCAACTCATCGTAGCACCTCCAAATCACAAGCTCGTTCTTAGTCCGACCCAAAGCGAGGAAGATTTTGATCTGATGGGTGAAGCGTATTGATGGGTGGTGCAATGAGGGTGGAGAACGCACGGATTGAAGGGCTAAATGACGGTATATTCGAAGGTGAGGCGAACGGGTAGTGTTGCATGCTTGTGGTAAGCTGGTCTCGCATGCCCCTTGAATTCAAGTTCTCTTGGATCTTTCAAAAGCCAGACACCAACTCATATCAAACGCGAAACCATCCTGTAGCCATCGCTGTCTTCATCCCAAGACATGAAGTCCCCTTCGTTCGAATCAAAGGCGCATACACTCGTTTCATAGTGATGCTGGAAAGGGCGAGAATGGATCTGTGTCCGGTAAAGATGTTACAAACGAGATATTAAATTCTGCTCAGATCGGCGAACGGAGAGGAGCTCAATGTCATCGTTCTGGAGAGGGAGAGTCTCAAGGTCAACACTTAAAGCATTTTGGCGTTCTATGTCTGCGCAGGCGGTGGCATCCAGGCCCATGATTCTCATGATGTTGTTGCTCAGAAGGGGGAATGAAAATAAGTGTACCATCTCGTCCCTGGAAGAATATCCCCACAATGCAAGCGGCAGTGATGATCATGGAGAGGACAAACAGCATGGAGATTCGTACCACGGTGATAGTGCGTATGTCACCTTAGGTGTCGCATCCCTTGGCACACTGGTCGTGCGTTTGCCTCAATTCTTCTTAATTCTATTCTGGTCCACAACCCAGCAGATCTCCAGATACGCCCAGTCCGCGTTCAACCATTGCAATGGTTTGCGATGGTTGTTTGGATTCTTCGAACACCAGGCATGTCCAAACAGCTCCCCTGATGTGTCCCAACACCCAATTGCACTCCCCCAACCCACTTTTCCGAGCATGATCAGTAACGACGATTACCAAGTGAGATTAGCTACAGTCTCATATCTTCCCAGTACAATTAGCAACGAACATGCAAGTCAGAAATGTACACACCTACTGGCAGACAGACTCCTACATATATATTACGTCTTACAAGATTAAGTTAATACATTGGTATGCAACATCCTTCCCCTCATCTCCCCGCACCGGCGGTCAATTGCGTAGTCCCAACATTCCATATATCATCCTAAAGTCGCCAAATCTTCCATTCCTACTATCTACAATTGGTCCATCACGCAGTCGCCTCCCTAACCCTCCACCGTGGATGCCCTTTCCCACCCAAACCGACTCATTTGAAGAAAATAATATAAAACGTCGCCCCGACCATGATGAAGAAACAGACTTGAACGAGAAGGCGTTCCCACGGTTGTTGATCTGCGGGTGCTTGCAGCATTTTCCGCTTGTGGGGAAGGGGTGCTGGTGCGGCGGGGGTGGGGGAGGCGGCATCGGTGCCGACGAGTTGCGTTGTTTCATCCTCCTTGGAGGTGTCGGCTTTGCGGTTTCTGAGTTCTGAGGACATCGTGGCGCAGGTGATGGAGTGTGGGTGGTATGAGGAGTGGAGGTAATGAGGTCAAGTGAAGTGCGAGCTGTGGGGGGTTTTGAGATGGAAGGTTTGTGTGGGAAGAAGTTCTGAGATGGAAACCCTTCCCTTCCTTCGAACTTCGAAGCCGCCACGGAACATCAAAGGGGGTCGAAATGGAACATACAAATTTGGTGCACGTGGTGGCTTGGCTGCTGCCTCGTGCCGATGGCCCGATGCGCACACACAGTAACGTCACAAAGCCAGTCAGACTTGAAAAGCAGATGATCTAAAATGTCGAAAGAGCAATGATCCATATTGGAAACATTACATTGCAACAACTTACATATAAAGACAACGTCGCGACCGAAGAAACTTCGGCACAAGGTGTACTACAACGGCTACACTACATTAAGATTAAAACAATATGTTGGACTTGAGCACCTCTAACCTGTGCATGAATTTCCCCCTACCAAACCTACCCGTCACCTACCCTTTACCAAACCCCCACTCACCGAGCCCCATCACCCTTAGTCTTATAAGCCTTCTCCAAAGCCTGCGCAAAATCCTCCTTAATATCCTCAATATGCTCCAACCCAACACTAACCCTCACAAGATCCTTCGTAACCCCACTCGCAACCTGCTCCTCATCCGTCAACTGCTGATGCGTAGTACTAGCCGAATGGATCACAAGCGTCCTCGAGTCCCCAACATTCGCCAAATGACTCGCAAGTTGGACGGAGTTAATGAATGTTTTCCCGGCTTCAAGACCTCCCTTGACGCCGAAGGTGAGGAGACCACCGAATCCGTGTTTAAGGTATTGGCGTGCGAGACGGTGGGAGGGGTGGGATGGCAGACCGGCGTAGGAGACCCAGGCTACTTCGGGGCGGGTGAGGAGCCATTCGGCTAGTGCTTGGGTGTTTTCGACGTGGCGTTGGGCGCGGAGGGAGAGGGTTTCGAGGCCTTGGAGGAGGAGGAAGGAGCCGAAGGGGTTTTGGCAGGGTCCAAAGTCGCGGAGTTGTTCGACGCGGAGTTTGATTCCGAAGGCCATGTTGACGCCGAAGGGACCTTCGGGGCCGAAGACGTCCCAGAATTTGAGGCCGTGGTAGCCTGGGGAGGGTTCAGTGAAGATTGGGAAGCGGCCGTTGTTCCATGGGAATGTGCCGGCGTCGATGACGACGCCGCCGATTGTGTTGCCGTGGCCGCCGATCCATTTTGTGGCGCTGTGGACTACGATGTCGGC